CCCCCCCCAAACCACCAGGACCCCCCGAACCCCTCCCAAACCACTGGAACTCCCCGGGACTGCCCCCAACCACCAGGGCCCCCCCAACCCCCCCCCAAACCACTAGGACCCCCTGGGACCCCCCAACCCACCCCCCCCCCCCAAAACCACTGGGATCCCCCAAACCCTACCAAACCCCCCAATGTCCCCAATCCCCACAATGTCCCCAATTCCCCCAATGTCCCCCCAATGTCCCCAGGGGGGTGGACCTGGTGGTGGAGGTGGCCCACCCGTGTGTGGCCCAGGAACACGGCGAGGACATCCTGGGACACGCGGATTTCATGGTGGGGACACTGGGGGGGCATTGGGGAGATTTGGGGATGTTGGGGGGGATTGGGGACATTGGGGAGATTTGGGGATGTTGGGGGGATTGGAGACATTGAGGGGAACATGGGAGGGACGTTGGGGGGCCATGGGGTGGCCATGGTGACGTTGTCCCCTGTCCCCAGCTGGGGTCCCCCACAGCCCTGGCAGACCCCGAGACCGAGCGGCGGCTCCGGGAGGCGGCGACACGGGGGGGCCACACCCTGTATGTCCCCAGGGGGGCCCTGTGGGGCTGCGAAGACATCGCCAGGATGGACCAGGAGGGGACACTGGCTGTGAGTGACACTGGGGACACTCACAATGACCTTGGTGTCCCCCTCATTGTCCCTGAAGGTGACAATGGCCTTGGTGTCACCCCCATTGTCCCTGAAGGTGACAATGGCCTTGGTGTCCCCCCTACCGTCCCTCAGGCCCTGAAGGTGACAATGACCAAGTCCCCGCAGAGTTTCCGGGCGCAGGGGTGGCTCCGAGAGCGGGTGGCGGCCGCGGTGGCCTCAGGGACGAGGACGGTCCTGTACGAGGGTCCCCTGCGGCCCCTCTGTCCCCTCGCCCCCAACAACGTCAACACGATGGCAGCGGCGGCCGTGGCGGCGCCGGGGCTGGGCTTCGATGGCGTCACCGCCTGCCTGGTGGCCGACCCCAGGTGTGTCACCTCCCATTGTATGCCATTCATTGGTGTCACCTCCTCCTCTGTCATTGACTGGTGTCACCTCCCCCTGTGACCTCCCATGGTGATACCCTAGTGCCACCCCCGAGTGTCCTTGTTGTCCCCTCAGTGTCCTCTAATCCCTTCCTTGTCCCCCCCAATGCCACCCTCTCCCTGTCCCCTCCTTGTCCCCTCAGTGTCACCCCCCAGTGCCACCCCATTGTCCCCTCACGTTCCCTCTTTGTCCCCCTCAATGCCACCCTCTCCCTGTCCCCTCCTTGTCCCCTGAGTGTCCCGGTGTCCCCACAGTGTCCCCGACTGGCACGTGGTGGAGGTGGAGGTGACATCGGTTGGAGACAAGGGGCGGTGCCTGAGTGTCACCAGCACCCGCCGGAAC